CTTCACTTAGGGTGATAATCTCTAGGTTCATTTATATTGCAGCAAATGGTATTATTTCATTCTTTTTATGGCTGAGTAGTATTCCATTGTACCACATCTTCTTTATTCATCTATCAATGAACATTTAGGTTTTTCCATGTCTTGTAGATAATGCTGCAGTCAACATTGGGGTGCGTGTGTCTTTTTGAATTATAGTTTTGTTTGGATATGTGCGCAGCTTCCCTGGTAGCTTGGTTGGTAAAGGATCTGCCTGTAATGCGGGAGACGTGGGTTGGGAAGATACCCTGGAGAAGGGAAAGGCTACCCACTCCAGTATTCTGGCCTGGAGAATTCCATGGACTGTAAAGTTGTAGGGGGTTGCAAAGAGTCGGACATGACTAAGTGACTTGCACTTTCACTGGATTTGTGTGCAGGAATGGGATTACAGAGTCATATGCCAACTCTGTTTTTAGTTATTTGAGGACCTCCAAATTGTTTTCCATAGTGTATGTGCCAATTTACATTCCCACCAACAATGTAGGAAGGTTTTTCTCTCCAGCATTTATTATTTGTAGACTTTTTAATGACTTCCCAGGTGGCACTAATGGTGAAGAATCCTCCTGCCAATGCAGAAGATGCCAGAGATGCAGATTTGATCCCTGGGTTGGGAAGATCCCCTGGAGTAGGAAATGGCAACCCACTCCAGTATTTTTTAATAACAGCCATTTTGACCAGTGTGAGGTTGTACCTCATTGTAATTTTGATTTGCTTTTCTCTCATAATTAGCTGTGTTAAGCATCTTTTCATGTAACTGTTGGTCATCTGTGTGACAGACACATTTTTAAATGTCTATTACTATCTATGTTCCTTTCGCCATTCCAGAGGATCAGTTAGCATTTGATACACAGAAAAGAGGATCAAGATGTGAAAGTTCAAGGAATATAAAATGACCAACCTGTGTAAATTACCTGAAACCAAGTATGGGTCACAGACTGTCCCAGTGATAACTGGCTCATTCTAAATTAGCCAGGTTCCTAGGGCAAAGTGTTCTTTGCTTCATAAACTGAGGTGCTGAGCAAATAGTGAAGACACAGAATGAAGTGTTTTGGCTTTTCCGTTTCACCTTTCCAGAATCCTAATTAAGGATATTACAGATTCTGTATGCACAGATCATTCTGCAGTTGGTTGCCAAAATATTTGCATTTTTTGTGTCTGGATCCAAGTGGTGATCAACGGCTCCTGTAGACCAAGTTCCCAATTGGAATTGATCATTTTCTCGCCTGTGAGCTTATAGAAATTTACTTTTAATCTTATTTATGGGCTCTACCATATTTTGCCAATGTGTATTTATAGAAGTGCTTGCTTATATATTTATTTTGAAGTCTCTCTTTTGAAGCAACTACTTATTGTAATAAGTAGGAAAAGTATATTATTCTTACCATCATTTTGATACTGGTCTTTTGGGATTTGGGGAGCCAGTGTGCATAGCTTGTCTCAGAGGAAAACCAAAAGGACAAAAGGTATTTAGATGAGCAAATTGACATATATCAAGAACTGGAGAGCAGTTACTGCAAGTTCAGATTGGAACTCAATGGTCTTTATCATCTGTCCTTTATTTCACACACACACACAAAGGAACCTGGAATATCATCCTCCTCCCCTTCTTACTCCTTCAGTTTAGGCAGAAAAGTATGTTACAAAATGACATTCACTCTCTTATGACAGGAAGCTCACAAAAATGCATTAAAGAATCTAGCTCAGAAAGGACAGCTTCACAGACACCAGCTAAATAGTGCCTTTGAATTCACATATGCTGTTTTTCTTCAAATGCTCAGACAGGTCAGACATTTCAGTTTACAGTAGACAAAGCCATCTAACGTGGGTGAATTGTAATTCCCCACCTTGAATTCAGTGGCTGACATAAATAATTTTGATGCTGATGAATAGAAATGCAAGGTGGGGAAAAAAAAGTGTGAACAAGGTTTCAGTACCAGCTCTCCTTCTGGTTGATTCTGTAATCCTGGGCAAGAAACCTGGCATATCTTGCCTCAGAGTCCCATCCAGTGTAAAACAGGTGTCAAAGTATACCTGCTACATGTGTCTTCTGTGTTTTAAAATGAACAAATGGAATAATGTAAGAAAATCTACTTGAAGCTCTTTACAACGTAACAGTAATAGACTTCTAGGCTTTATTAGTAATAATTTACTAACATCTTCTTTTTTTGGGCCAAGCATCCTCTATCCTATTTTGATTCTTTCTGTGACCTGCAGGGAAACAGTAAAAATGAGAAAACTGAGTCTGCAAGTGTGCTAGTTTTACTGATGAAGTAGCGAAGCCCTCCCTGGCCGCAGCTAGAATTAAGTTAAACGTTTAACAATTCCAAAGCCTTCAAAGATAAGAATGGGTTGAGAAATGGACTGAAGCTAAGTATTTTCTTCCCTTTTATTTGTTTTCCATATTTCAGTTCTTTTGCCTTTATCTGCTGTGATTCATTTGTAGTCACTACATGACCCCATTCCTAGCTTCTTTTATTGTTAGTAAACAAATATTTTTTCAGCTTTATTGAAGTATGTGTGTGTGTGTGTTTAGTCGTGTCTGACTCTTTTGTGATCCCATGGACTGTCCGCCAGGCTCCTCTGTCCATGAAATTTTTCAGACAAGAATAGTGGAGTGGGTTGCCGTTTCTTACTGCAAGGGATCTTCCCAACCCAGGGATCGAACCTGTGTCTCTTGCGTCTCCTTCATTGGTGGGCAGGTTCTTTACCATAAGCGCCACCAGGGAAGCCCTTATTGAAGTATAACTGACAAATAAAATTATATATAAAGTGTACAACTTGATGATCTCATTATCCATATACATTGGGAAGGGATTTCCATTAAGTTAATTAACATATCCATCACTTCACATATTTATATGTGTTTGGTAAGAACGCTTAAGTTATACTCTCTTTGGAAATTTCAGTGATACAGCATAGTATTACCAACTATAGTTATCATCTTATAATTAGATCCTCAGAACTTAGTTCTCTTACCACTGGAAATTTGTACCCTTTTACCAGCTATCCCTATTTCTCTTACCCCGAGGCTCTGGGAAACACCATTCTATTCTTTCTATCTGTTTGACTTTTCCTTTTTTTTTTTTTCATATTCCACATATAAATGATATCATGCAGTTTTGTCTTTCCATGTATGACTTATGTTACTTAGCATACATAATGTCCTACAGGTTCATCCATTTTTGAAAGTGGCAGGATTTGCTTTTTTTAAGGTTGAATAATCAACAAATATTTTTGAGCTCCTGTTAGTTAAGTGCCAGATTGGGCAGATTCTGGGGAAGAACAGTGAATAGGGCATGCCCCCTTTCACCTTCCTTCAGGGCTCTTATGTCCTAACTTTCATCAGTCAAATAAACCTGTTTGTTTCCTCTAAAAAGTTTATATAAGTGAGACCTAAAACACGGCAAACTAAGAAGACAGGTTACAGATGTTGGGGCCTGGGTTGGGGGTGAGAATGATCTGGGACCAAACAGTAATTAGCAGTTTGGATACTGAATGAGCTTTGTGATCCTCAAAAACAAAAACTTGATGTGCTTTTTCATATTTCCATATATTAGAGATAGTCTCTGCATAATAATATATTTTCTAGTACATAAAGCTCCATGTAATAGGAAAAGGGCTTATCTGATAAAGAAATATCATAATTATAGAATACTTTTGAAATACTATGTTTTAATTTTGGACTCATAAATGGAAAGAAAACAATGAAATATTTCAAAGAGGAGTATTGGTTTAATAAATAGTTAAGGTTCTTCTACAGTTCAGTTCAGTTCAGTCATTCAGTCGTGTCCAACTCTTTGTGACCCCATGAACTGCAGCATACCAGCCTTCCCTGTCCATCACCAACTCCCAGAGCTTGCTCAAACTCATGTCCAACTAGTTGGTACTGCCATCAAACCATCTCATCCTCTCTTGTCCCTTTCTTCTCCTGCCTTCAGTCTTGCCCAGCAACAGGGTCTTTTCCAGTGAGTCGGTTCTTTGCATCAGGTGGCTGAAGTATTGGAGCTTCAGCTTCAGCACCAGTCCTTCCAATGAATATTCAGGGTTGATTTCCTTTAGGATTAACTGGTTTGATCTCCTTGCAGTCCAAGGGACACTCAAGAGTCTTCTCTAACACCACAGTTCAAAAGCATCAATTCTTCAGTGCTCAGCTTTCTTTATGGTTCAATTCTCACATCCATACATGACTACTGGAAAAACCATAGCTTTAACCAGACAGAGCCTTGTCAGCAAAGTAATATTTCTGCTTTTTAATATGCTGTCTAGGTTTGTCTTAGCTTTTCTTCCAAGGAGCAAGTGTCTTTTAATTTCATGGCTGCAGTCACCATCTGCAGTGATTTTGGAGCCCAAGAAGTTGTTATGCAAGTGACATTTTATTAATTCCGTAAATGATGGCAAACTATATGAAAATAATTTAAAATTAGATTAAATGTGCATGCCCGTTATAATAAATTATATATAATTTACTATTTAGTACTTTTTTGTTTGTGCACATTTTGCAGAGATATACTGCCTCCTATGAATTCCACAGTTGCAAAATCAGATGATTCTTAATTAGTAAAGCTTCAATTTATAAGATGTAACTGTATGTGAAGCCATACTCAACCAATTTTCTCACTTATTAACAGTCATTTTTTTCCACTAGGTAAAATATGTTGAATGCCTTTTTGTAATAGAGGAGACTTCTTTTTCTTTTGAAACCTTAAACAAATTACAATACCATTTCCTTAAATACTTGTCATTCTTTCTTATCAGATTAGAGCATAAAAGATGTGTCCAAATTTTTGGTTATTTTATCTAGGTGAAAGGTAAATACAGTTATAATAAAGAAAAATTTATTGTGCCTTTATGTTTTTGTTGAAGACATTTTTAAAATGCTTAATCCTGCTTTTTTAAATTACTGATTATGAATTTGGGTCACTTTAATCTTATTTTTATAGTAAAAAATGGTGTTTGTCTTACAGTTAATATCTCAGTGTCTAATGATACCACATTGGCTCCTGAAGATTTGCCAACTGTTTCTTCTTCTGATATGGTAAGTGACTTACTATTTTAAATCATTTGCATATTGTATATTCTAATTATAATATTCATGATATGATGTTTCCTACCAATCAGCAATCCTAGTCTGAACACATATTTAATAGTCAGTGATATTGTAGGGAATGAAAAAACAGTTTCTGTGTTCTGATCAACTGTTTTTTTCCTTTTCCTTTTTTCTTTCAAACTTAAGTATTTATTACTATAACACAAGTTTCAAACCTTCTCAGGAATTTGACTGCTATCTCACTAATTATCAGCTTGAAATATTTTCACAAGGGAAAGTGAGGTACATTGTGAAGTGAGAGCATGGAATCCTCTCTTTGTTTCTAGCACGATTACAAATTCTTCTGATGACCAGATGGTACTGTGTTCCCTTCACTGAGGGTGATTGTAGCAGGACATTTCCCGTGTCACTTAGAAAGGACTGTGCCTCTGTCACATGATATCCTTTCCCATGGCTTGTAACCAAGGCTCTTTAAGAGACTGGAACTAAGCTTTAAAAATGAGCTATTTTGCATGGAAGGTCACACACTGGAAGAAGACTTTTGTGCTGGAGAAAAAGGGGCAAGTGCTGTTTCAGACTCGCAATTGTGTTCCTTCTACTGGATATGGAATCTTACCAAGGAATATCAATCTCTCAGTTATAAAGACAGAAACCATAATACTTTGTATTGATAGAGTGCCCATCTCTCAGGAGACCAGAACACTTCTGGAGATGTTATATAATCAGTGCCCACAACATCCCTTTCAAAGATGACGCTTTGTATCTTTCCTGAATATCTCTCACTTGACCCTGTTTCTCTCGTTTTCACATTCAATGGCTCTCTTGACTTCTTTCCTTACTGTTTTCTCTGCCTTTCTCCAAACATTGCCTCTTTATTTCATCCATGTTTGAGAGCACACGTGCGTGCACAAGTGTGTGTGTGTGTGTGTGTGTGAAAGAGATATGTATATGTCTTAAGGGCCACATAACTGAAAAAAATTCAGTTTTCAATCTTTGAGCCAGCTGACCTGGTGCCTAAAAGGATATAACTTAAAACAGAGAAAAATACTTCCTTCTAGACTTTTAAGAAACTTATTTAAAACCTAATTAAAATATATATGTAACTAATTAAGATGGTTAATTTGGAATAAAAATTAATAAAACATTTACTTCCAATGAGTTAAAAAGAGATTGTTTCCTAACTTAATTCTTTTTGTAACTAATCAAGTAAAGTTTTAAAATGAAAGTGTGAGTCACTCAGTCATGTTTGACTTTTTGTGACCCCATGGACTGTAGCTCGCAAGGCTCCTCTGGCCGTGGAATTATCCAGGGAAGAATACTGGAGTGGGTTGCCATTTCCTTCTCTAGGGAATTGTCCTGACCCAGGGATTGAACCTGGATCTCCTGAATTACCAGCTGGTTCTTTACCATCTGAGCCACCAGGGAAGCCCTGAACTAAGAAATTTTTAAGTACTGTCTTTGGGCAAGTCCTGGAGAGACTCTAGTAATTGACAGTAATTATACTAAGATGTCACTATAAGATTCATGGAAAACAAATGAACGTTGTGGTTGACTTCTGATATGACTGTGACATACACTCACACTAATGATAATAATTTAGCTACCATTTATAAAGCATCTACAAGAGACCAGGTGTTTTATACATATTATCATTATTATGAACCTTTATTTGTATTGTGATCATTTACACAACCTACCAGGCATAATTATCTCCATTTTATAAATGAGAGCGATTGAAGCCCCTGAAGGTAAATAACCTTTTCTTGCTTTAGGTCATGTAGCCATAAATTAGTAGAACAAAGACTGAACTGAATTTTGGGTGGTTCCGTCACCTGTGGTATTGCTAGTGCCCCATGATGCTTCAAAGTTTTCAAATTGGAATGTTTACTATTGTTTACTCTTTTCATCCCTATGAATGCTCTATACTCCAGGGCAATAGTTCCCTCGTGTGTGTATCAATTACATACCTTAACTAATATGTTCAGTTTCTATGTCCAGCTTCTCTAGAGAAGACATTAGGGCAAAATATGTAATGTGTGTGTGTATGTAATTATAAAGGACAACTTTTTTTCTAGTCTTCATTTCTCCTTTTCTATCTGTATCAACCCCTTTATATATACTTCGCAAACATACACACACACACATATATATATATTTACATGATCCAGGAATGAATGTTAGAAAGATAATATGATTTATTATCATCAATTATATCACCTACTAGGGGTCAGGCTATTTACATTAATTGTCTATAATCCTCACAATACCTTTATGAATTATGGTGTTACCTGTATTTTATAGATGAATCAGAGGCTTATAAAGCTTAGCTAACTTTTCAAAGGCCATATGACCAGTATACAGTAAAATCAGAATTTGAACTCAGGCTTTCTAACTCCAAAATCTGCCTATTTCCAGTCTTTGGGGAAGCAGAACAACATGTCATGTAGAAGGACTTACAGATACTGAGTCCTCATGTCTGACTGCCTGGTTGCAAATGCAGGACTCCACTACTTTAATCACGAGCTGTGGAACCTTCTCAGCTTCCCATCTGTAAAATGATGATGAGAAGAGTATTTCCTTCAGAGACACTAGAAGAGCCAGATTAATAAATAGGCGGCCAGCTAAGTGGCTGGCACATACTTGTCTTTCAGTCAGTGTTTGGTGCTGTTTTTATTCTTTGCAGGTGTTCTTATCATTCCACTAGGCCATTTGCCACCATCACTCAGGTTGGTGGAGAGAAGAAATTGATAGCTACTGCTTCTGACCACCTACTGGGTCCTCTGTGTGTTTGGTCATCCTAGCTCGGCAAGCCTAAACCTTTCCTAGGACCTACAGTCAATAGGGCTTCATTTCCTTCTTTTCATTCAGCAATAATTAGGTCAGGAAAGAAGATGCAGTAAAAGTGACGTGCAGCCCTGGGGCACCATAAGACTCTCTCTCATGGGCCCCAGGAACATCCTGTCAGAGGAAGGGAGGCCTTTGCTCTTTAGCTTCATTAGCATGAGGACAGCTTTCTTCTTCCTAGTGGTATGGGTGTGTTTTCAGGGGAAAGAGCAGGAAAAACAGGCCATGAGCGCATTTAGACAGAGGTGAGAACACTAGAATAACAGCCCTTCGAGAATAAAAAGCCAGGTTTTCCACATCTCCTTTTATTGTTGGAATCATTGTGTCTTTGTTTAAATTAATTTTTATTGGTGTATAGTTGCTTTACAATGTTGTGTGTTGGTTTCTACTATACAGCAAAATGGATCAGCTGTATGTGTACATATATCTGCCCCCTTTGGGATTTCCTTCCGATTTAGGTCACCACCGTGTGTTAAGTAGAGTTCCCTGTGCCGTACAGTAGGTTCGCGTTCATTACCTATTTTATACATGGTGTCAATAGTATATATGTGTTAACTCCAGTCTCCCAATTCCTCTCACTCCTCATCCCCTGCCTTCTTCCTTAGTGTCCATACATTTGTTTTCTACATCTGTGTTTCTATCATTGTGTCTTTAAATATTCCCTCTTTGATCAGTTTTCCCATGGATTTCTCACTTGGAATATCCCTTTAACCTGCAAATGAAATTCCTGCAAAGGTCTCTGTAAGTCTTTGAGACCAGCCACAATTTATCCACACTCTATCTGAACAGTCACTGTTGAGATTGGCTGGTAATTGAGATTACCAGCTCTCAGAGGCAGAGAACAGATTTCAGAATCTAATGTCAGAAGCTTCTCTTATGAAGACATGATTGAAGGGATCAGTTGGTATTTTTTTTTTCATGAGAGATTTATTTTTATAATTTGATTTTTTATTAAATTCAGTCATACGTTAAGATTCACAGTTCTTAATGTGCTCATTGCAATGAGTTTTGACAATTTTATACCTCATGTAACTACCGCCTGAAACAACATAGAAAACATTTCCATCATCCCAGAAAGTCCTCTGAAATGCCCTATTTCTTGTTTTATGCCCCAGCTTTTTGAGCCTTGGGAGATCTTTGCCCAACTGCTCTGCTCACTCCATTCCTTCAGAGGGCAGATACCTTAGCCATTTCAGAAGTGCTTGAAAGCCTCACAGGGATTTCTCTCGCCTGTCCTTTCCTGCTTCCTGTCTTAGGAAAGTGTCTTTCTTGCATTTGATGGAGATTCTGTGTCTAAGTGGTGTTTCTCTCAGCTGTTTTGTCAAATCTCCAGCCTTTTATGAACTCTCTGTGCATTTGGCAAAGACCATTAGAAAGTTTGGTGGATGGATGCAGGCTTGGCCAATGCCTAGGGAGGGCTTCACAGAATTCTAACCTGTCTCCCAGACTACAGAATCATTAAAAATTCATGAAAGATGTGGCTCATTTCTCCAGACCTCCAGTGCATTGATCTTCCACCTGCATTGATCTTCCACCTGCATTGATCTTCCACCTGCAACTCTGCCAGGGATGAGGCAGCCATGGACCTCTTCTCTCCTATGAAGATCTTGTAGCTTTTTGGCATTTAATTTACTTAGAATTTTTACTTCCTTATCTTGTTGGTGGAATTTTTAAAACTATGACCTTATGAGAACTTCCCTGGTGATTCAGATTATAAAAGATCCACCTGCAATGCAAGAGACCTGGGTTTGATCCCTGGGTCAGGAAGATCCCCTGAAGAAGGGAATGGCTATCCACTCCAGTTTTTATCCTTGTGTTTTGGTTGTTAGGTTGGGACTACTAACCGTCTCCTGCAACTTTCTATATCTTAATCATAAGTAGGATAACCAATTACTTTTGATATTTCACAACAATATATGTAATTGCAGCTCATATACGTCCCATAGATCATAAAGTAAGATTGCAGATCACTGCAAATCTGGCTTACCCACTGCAGGGAAAAAATCCTAAATGAGTACTTTAACTTCTTAATCTTGAGACTTTTATTTGTAGCATTACCTATAGGTGTGTAAACACACACACATATACTGTTTAAAGACATGTATTTTACCAGTTGATACTCAGAGAGCAATGTAGAATCTTTAATTTTTATGTCTGAATTTTTGCTTATTGTATTGCCCAGTGACACATATTATGTCTACATGGAGATGCTGTTAATCATGGGCCTAAGAACTATTACAGTCTCATAAATTCCACTTGGCAGTCAGACATGGAAGCAAAAGTGCTTTGATTTGATATACCTTCAGGGTGATTCTAGGAGTTAACATTCTTTTCATGGGAAATGGAATATCATATTAATCTTCCTGTGCATAACATTTTTGTGATTTTATCTCATTAAGAAAGTCAAGTGCACAAACCATTCTGCCCTTAAATCTCCTTAAAGATTACATGTTTCTACTTTTAAAAATATTATGGAAAATTTCAAACATGCCCTAAAATAGAATAGTACAATAAATCCTCATATATACATATGTAGCTTCAATGACTGTCAAACATTTGCCCATTCTCACTCATATATCCCCCACTTTTGTCTTTGTGGAGGATGCTGTGGTATTTTAAATCTTAAAATGAACCCTTCAGTATACATTTTACTTTTAAGGTTTATGAATGTATTCACTCAGTACAAATAGGGTCATTCTCTAGAAAATGAGATTCAAAAAAAAATAGGTTGAAATCTCCTTTCATGAGATTGAGCTCAGTTAAGACCCTCAGCAACTCAGTCCCATTTCCTTTGTATCTTTTCTCTCACTGCCCATTTACATAGACACTCAGCTCTAGCCCACCTGGTCCATTCACTCTGAGCTCCTCCTCATGGTGAACATTTCGTAAGTGGTACCTAAAGGACTTATTAAGTGAGTGAAGCATCATATGTCCCCAGATCCACCTCTTTGCTCATGGTGTCTATCTAATGCTATACCTCTCTGTTCCTGCTAGTACAGAAGAAATATACACCCACAGTTTGTCACATTTATGCCCCTCTCCACGGGCTTTTGTTACTCTCTCTGCATTCCTTTCTAGTTCTGTTGTCTTGCCTCCCTTCTGCCTACTGCCTTTTGAGTGTGAGAGTTCTATAGAGACCAGTCATTTTTTCAAGGTGCAGTTTAACTTCTGTTTTCCCTGTGCTCAGTGAAATTAATTAGTCCCTCTTCTGATCTACTAATCTCTGTACTATTTGTTTAGACACTTTCTTTTACTGCCTTGCATTGTTAATATATAAGTGGACATATTTTATTTCTCTAATAATAAAATGTTGTTTTTATTCTTCTTTATTCCTCCCTTAAAGCTTAACATAGTTATCCATGTAATAGGGACCCAATGCATTTTTTTTGTTTTCTTTAGGCTAAATTTTCCACTTTTTGTTTTATTACTCAAAATAACCTGTGTCTAAGTGAAGTTGCATCATCAGAGTTAGAAAAAAATAGAGTCCCAGTTACATTTGCATTTCAGAGAAATAATGAACAAAATTTTTTTTAGTGTATGTCCTGCATACTACATGTATGTGTGTGTATTGTTGTGTGTGTGCTCAGTCGTGTCCAGCTCTTTCTGAACCCATGGACTGTGGCCCACCAGGCTCCTCTGTCCATGGAATTTCCCAGGCAAGAATACTGGAGTGGGTTTCTGTTTCCTACCTTAGGGTATCTTCCAGATCCAAGGATAGAACCCCTGTCTCTTGCCTCTCTTGCATTGGCAGGCAGATTCTTTACCACAAGCACCACCTTGGGAAGCCCCACATATTACATGGGGCATACTAAAAATGTTATTCGTTGTTTACTTGAAATTCATATATAACTGGAAATACTTTATTTTACCTGATAATCTAAATTGAAAGTTTATTTTACTTTAACTTTGTCCTTCAGATAGAAAGAGTAGCTATATTCATAGATAATCTTCCTTAAATATGTCAGATGTTAGGATCTTGATGAGTGATTTCACTCATTCAGTTAACTAAGATTTCTTTTGGTGCCTGCTGTATCCTAAACTGAATTCTGCCCCTGCCTTGGTCCACTCTTTCTTATTTTTTTGTTGACACACAGTCCCTTCAGTCTATTCAGACACTCTATTTTAGTCTTTTCTGGGCTTACCCATCTGTGGTCCAGAGAGGCCAGAACCTAGTCAATCTTCCTCTCTCTCTCCATCTTAATCTTTCACCTTCCTCCATTCTTGTTTTTACCCACACCCCATTTTTCCTTCCAGACCCATAACTGGGTTCTTTCTCCACCACAAACATCTTCATGTCCAAAGGAAATGGCAACCTCCAGTATTATGGCCTGGAAAATTCCATGGACAGAGGAGCCTGGTGGGCTACAGTCCATTGGGTCGCAAAGAGTTAGACATGACTGAGCAACTGAGCATACATTTATTAGTTAGAGTTTAAGTTCTATGGGAGTAGGAAACTGAGTGTTAAGGTGTAGATACCAAGGTTTATACATGCTACCTAAAGATTTTATGCTGGAGCGCTTAGTGAAGATGATGTCAGAGGCTATATTTTCTTTACAATGACACAAAGAATCATTTGAGGCATGCAAAAAATGTGATACTAGCATTTTAAGGTGACATAAGTAAGAAACATGTCTATATTTCATGCACATCTGTATAGTTCTCATCTCTGTAAGAAAATCAGTAAAGCTTCCTGTTGAGATTGTTTTAATGCAGCTCACCTCTTTGGGGAGTTGCAGCTGTAATGAAGGATTCTGCTGATATTAAAGTGCTGAAATTATGGTAAATTTTTTTTTATTTTAAACCAAAGAAATCTGTTACCTGTTATGACCTCTAAACTTTTAACGGTATTGGGCTTAGAAATATCCATTTATAGAAATCTGAAAAACAAAATGAAACATGATTAATCACCTCTCAGAAAGAGTTTGATAAAAGAGTAATTTTGCAATTCATCTGTTTACAAGATGAAACTAATATTTCAGGGAAAAATCTAGAGTTTATTTTTTTTTTTCCTGACTTACATAAGAACTTTACCTTTTGAGCACTATAAAAATATGAACCCTTTCTGGCCAGAGATTCTTCTTTAATGTGTATGATCTTCTTTTATTACTAGATTAGTTATATCAAGAAACTGCATGAATAGTAAAGGATATTGATGATGCATTTGGTGTGAGGTAGAACTCCTGCCTTCAAAGGACAGGAAAAATTTATCTTTTTGTATTTATTTGAGAAGTATCCTGGAATTTCTCTTCTGTTAGTACATGACATACACATTAGCCTTGCACCTAAGAGGAAGTCTGATCTCCCAGTACCAGCAGATTCAGTGTCTGGTGAAGCTTTGCTTCCTGGTCCTAGATAGTCTCCTCATTGTGTCTTCATGTGGCAGAAGGGACAAGGAGCTCTCTGTTTTGCAAGGGCACAAATCCCATTCGTGAAAGTTTCCCTCTTGACCTAATCACTTCCCAAAGGCTCCACCTCTGAATACCATCACATATGAGGGTAAGGTTTCAGCATATGAATGTTAGGAGAGCCCAGATATTCAGACAGTAGCACCGCATTAGTGTTGGTCAGTAAGTGGCTGAAAGAGAGCATAATCTTCCAAATGAGGCTGCTGTTATGTCATGAAAGGCAGTTATCAAGAGAAGAAGACAGCTGTGAGCTTATAACAGCAAAAACTCAGCATCTGGAGAATGGGTGTCCTGGCCTTATCTAGTACCATAGCTAAAGGATTCTCCCGCATTTTAGGAACAGTGAATAGGAACGGACTTACACTGCTATCGAGAGGTGCGGCACTGACAATGTGACCGCAATTCATGAGATAGAAGAAAATTTGAAAATGGCCTTGTGAGCTTGAGGCCATAAAGCAGAGGGATGGAGATCCCATACCCTGCTCCTCAGCCCATCACAACACATTCCAGTAACAGATGCTCATGATGCTGACCCTAGAGTCAAAAAGAAAAGCTGTGTTTCATTAGGATAGACAATTGGAAAAGCAGAGCTCTCCAACATTTTTAGAGTTTAGTTCCTCAAGTCACCAATCTCTAGTTATTTTGAAAAGAAATAGCTCATTTGTGAAAGTGTGGGGTAAATTAGTTAGCCAGATGTAAACTTTAGAGCACTGAATCTGGGGCCATCAGATTGAAGCACAAGAAGCTGTGCACCGCAGAAGTCAGGGCTTTTTGGACATCAGAGATGTTTCAGAGTCTCACGTTTAGAGACTTAGGAGATTATTGTGTCTTGGTTTACTCTTAGGAAGGTTCGTAGGCAAGGACTTTGTGGCTTGTGTCTGTTGAACAGATGGGTGATTGTAGGGTTGTAGTACAAACCAGGTTTGCATGGATTGCATCATTCTCACTGTATTTTCAATAACTGCCAGCCCCCTGGCCCCCCTTACCTGTTATTCCATTAACACCTCCTCAGATTTCACCCTTCAGTGGTTTATCCTTGGACTGTTTTACAGAAACTTCTAGCATAAATCCCCAAATAGCCCATCAAGGATCAAAAGCTGCTTTTGATGTATCACAGTGTTCTCCAGAAAAATTTTCATGTTTTTCTTCTGCAGTCCCATAATGCTACCTTTGACTGGGCATTTCTGACGACAAAGGAGTGTTTGAAATATGGAGGAAAGCTTGTGGGCAACAACTGTGGTTTTGTTCCTGATATCACACTCATGTCTTTCATCCTCTTCTTGGGCACTTACACTTCTTCTATGGCTTTGAAAAAATTCAAAACCAGTCCTTACTTTCCAACCACGGTGAGTACTTGAGCTTTAAATAATTTTCATTGAATTCCCACTGTTTCAATAATAATACAGTTTTACAAAATGAAAAAGGCACCTGTAATTCAACCTTTCCAATATGATTTCGTGTGTTAAAAATTGCTTTCCAGTCTCTGTGCATACGTACTTTTGACACAATTATAGTCTAGCTTCAAAAAACCTTTTGGGATTTTGCTCGCATAATTCTGTCCTAAATTGTGCCTGTCTGAATTCTGACTGTACTGAAAGGAAAAAGCAGGTGTATTCTATATAAAAATGCATGATACCATTTAGATCCATGGATCTTTGAGATCCATGGTGTGTTTTAAGTACGTAAGCAAAAACTCTTTCCATATTAATTAGGAATTTTGACATAGAATTCTTTGTTCATCAGCTGTACTTGTGAGTAATTTAGTAGTTGGACTATGGGCTGTGGAAATAAATGTAAACCATGTTGTTACACAAGTACTGGTGTAAGATATGGTGTCATCTGAACCAGCCTTCCCTTCCCACAGTGACGAATGCCACGGTAGAGAAACACAGGTAATTGAGCTGGCTTGTCTTGTGCAGACATCCTGTCTCCCATTAATATGCTTGGGTGAGCTTCAAGTCAAAACTGTGCTTCCTGGAGAGACTACAAGATAAGACCAACATTTAGTTAATGGCATTTTGTTTTCTTACTTGCAGAACGAAGCTAATCCTTTGCTTTACAGTTCAATTCTCACTATTTAAGATGTCAGTAGTTCTTAGTAATCTTGATTATACTTGATTTTTATCAGTGAGCTGCTCTCTACAACTGGAATCTCATGAATCTTTCCTCCTGAGCTCTGTGTAGAAGGAGCAGGAGAACTTGGAAGACATGAGATGTGGTTGATAAAATTCCTTTTTTATTCCTGGGAAATGAGACTGAAAGTTAATATATTCACTTTCAGCTAGGAAATGTTTTGTTCCTGATATCTCTTATGAAATAGAAAATGAAGGCAAGAGTTGATGATTTTCTCAGTCTGTCTGGGTGGCTATAACAGAATACTAGAGACTAGAGGACTTGTAAACAACACAGATTTATTTTTTATGGTTCGGGAAGCTGGGGAGTCCAAGATCAGGTGCCATCACGGTTGGGTGAGTGCTCCCTTCCTGGTTCTTAGGCAGCGTCTTTTTCACTGTGTCCTCAGGTGGCAGAAGGGCTGGGGAGCTCTGTGGGGTGTCCTTTATAGGAACATTAATGCCATTCCGAAGACTCCATCCTCATGCTCTTCTGAGGGCCCCACCTTCTAATATCATCTTCTTTGTGGATTAGAATTCCAACATATGGATTTTGGAAGGACAGCCTTCAGACCACTGCAGGTTACTGTGGTCTGCAGATTTCATTAGAAATGTCCCAAACTAGCTGGCCCAAAGGATGAAAAATTTCCTCAAAGTGAAGTGTAGCAAGAAGTGTTCAACTTTGTCTGCCTTGAAAGGGCATCACAAAGTGGTGGTCCTTAGGCAGAATTCAACCCTCATCCATTCTTTGTTTAGCCCATAGTTTGTACATACACAAACACACTCACACTTGAGGGCATAGGCGGAAACTGGCCTCCGCAGGCAGATAATTGTTCTCACTCCTACTGTTCTTTATTGTCTAAGACTTGTCTGCTGCACACATTCAGGTTAAGTGCTTGTCCCTGAGACTTTGAGCGTGTAACACCAGTTCCCACACTGGGAAATGTGCTTACTTGGTTCACCTCTTCAGTGGTATGTTACATGTAGAACAGTTTCCTGGGTAAAGGTCTTTGAGGATGATTTCTTCTTCTGTATTGAGATTTTTCCTTCTTATTAATTTATGGGACATCTTTTTTTTGGCTCACACTTTGGGAATCATCACCCTTTTTATCTCCTTCATTTGCCATAGTGTGAAAATTAAAGAATTTGTGAAGCACTTGTAAATCATAGTTAGCAAAATAATTTCAACCTTAAGATGAATAGTGATCATTTTAACTGTTTATGTAAATATCACCTTTTCTTCCCCTGCAAATTCCAAAATCAATAATAAAGAAATTTCTCCTTATAAGAGCCCAAGCAGGTAGTTTCTCAGACATTGATAAATGCTGTTGAGAAAAGTTGGAAAAATATTGAATATGTGAAAATAAAATAATGAAGGCATTCTAGTTACAATTCCTGTTGAGAAGGTTCTCAACTTTGCTTACAGCTGCTTACCCCAAATTATAAAATAAACAGGTAGGAGGACATAGATTTGATTTCCAAGGAGTAATGTTTAAGTGTGTAGGCTTTCACACTATCATCTCCCTCCCCTACTCACTTCACAGTTATAGCTAACTAATAGTACCTACATACATAAATTATAAGAACATCTTTTTTTCCTTTCATTTGCCAAAATATGTTTTCATTTAAGCTGTCACTTAGAAGTATGATCTCTGTAGGTAGGAGCAAATATGTTTATAGATTCATATACTTGTATTTTGGGCTTCCCAGGTGGTGTTAGTGGTAAAGAACCCACCTGCCAATGCACGAGACTTGAGTTCTATCCCTGGGTCAGGAAGATCCCCTGAAGGAGAGCTTGGCAGCCCACTCCAGTATCCTTGCCTGGAGAATCCCAAGGACAGAGGATCCTGGCAGGCTAGAGTCCATAAGGTTGCAAAGAGTTGGGACACAACTGACTTGACTTAGCATAGCACATACTTGTATTTTATATTCTACAGTTGAAACTTACATGCTTAAATGTGATTACTGTGCTGACACTCGAGCCTAACTGTTAACTACTTCCTCAGTCTCACCAACAATTCACCTGAAACCTCTAAAATCGCAAAATGCTAGTCCTGGATGGCAGTGCCCTTGCCATAAAAGTGTCCACTTCTCCTTTAATTTACACAGCCACCGCTCTCTTTTTGTACTTCTGTTTCTAAATGTTTGTATGAGTTGTTAGTCGATCAAGACTGAGAATTGGTGGGAAACTCTTACACTTCTGTTTTATTCCTCACATCAGTTAGTACCGGATTGGATGCAGGCTAGGCCCTCAATACTTGTTGGCTAGTGGAGCCCAGTCAAGTAGAGGTAAATGCTGCAATTTATGGGAAGAGCACAAATGCAGGAACCCAGATGCTGTAGATGCTAAGGCCAGCACTGCCAGGAACCAACAGTGCACCCTTTGATAGCTAACTGTGGACTTTAGTCCACACCCATAACAGGGGAGCCCAGCTAGATGGCACTTAACATCCTTTAAACTCTAATATTCTATAATCTTAAAGAGAGTTTTCTGATTCCATCTCCTAAAATAAAATTCTCTTATGTTTAACTTCTGCTTATAGCAGTGAGAAGGAAGTACGGATTCCCCAGAGTCCATTATTATCTCCATTTTTATGCCAGGTCTGCCTTTGCAGCTGCTGCCAGCCTCTGTCTGTGGATGATCCACAGTTGTCATCTATCAAATTCAAAATTATACACTCAGATTAGGATGGTCTGAGGGGTTTAATGAAAGCATGATATACAAAGGTGACACTAGGTTAAAGGAAACTCCAAGGGAGCATGTAATGTCCAGTGATAATAACAGTGGAACTGTTATGATCTCTGACTCAAAGGATGTGGAATGGGAGTGGTTGCTAGAACCTGGGAGAAGAGAGAGTGGTAGAGCTTTCCAGAGAGGCCCCATGACCTCCTTTGGATTGAGGAATTTAGCCAGCCTGAGGCAACCTCAAAGGGATATAGCTATGGGAATCAATAATCTGATCTCTCTCTCCCGACAGGCTGTAATCTTCTGAAATCTGGAGAGCAAGGGAGCCTATTGTAGACCACACAGGTCAGCTTCCCAAGGCAGTGAGCTTGGTAGAGAAGAGTAGAAAAGGTTCTGATATGACAAAAATGATATCCATCATATTTACCTTTCTAGGATTTTCTTTATCAAGTTAAACTCATCAGTCCACGTGATTATCCTGCTGTAATAACTTCTCTGATGGCTCAGATGATAAAGAATCTGTGTGCAATGCAGGAGACCTGGGTTCAATCCTTGCATCGGAAAGATCCCCTGGAGAAGGGAATGGCTACCTACTCCAGTATTCTTGCCTGGAGAATTCCATGGACAGAGGAGCCTTGGCAGGCTACAGTCCATGGGATTGCAAAGAGTCAGATACTTCTGAATGACTAACACTTTCACTTCACTTACATGTATACCTCTGTCCCCGAGTTCAGTCTCTCTCATTGTCTTTGCCCACTTCAGGTTTGGTTATCCGCTCTCACCTTCCCTCATGAAGCCAGCCGCTGGCAGTCCATCAGTTTGAGCACTTAAGATGAAACAGTTTGTCTTTGCTAACTAATAGTCCATCAGGAATTTTGCTAATTAATAGTCTTTGTTAACTAATAGTCTTTTGCTAACTAATAGTCCATCAGGAATTTTTCTTATTTTTGATGTGGACTATTTAAAAACTCTTTATTGAATTTATTACAGTATTGCTTCTGTTTTATGTTTTTGTTTTTGGCCCTGAGGCATGTGGGATCTTAGCTCTCTGAGCAGGGATCAAACTTACATCACTTGCATTGAAAGGTGAAGTCTTCCAAAAAAAAAAAAAAAGAAAGGTGAAGTCTTAACCAGTGGGCTGCCAGGGAAGTCCCAGGAATTTAATCTATCAGATACTTTCAGATGTTCAGTGGAATACGGTAGAGTAGCAATATCCCGCTGACTGTCCTCTGCGCTTCCCATCCTTTTAGGAGGGGTGCAGTGGGATCTGTTGTCCCATATAGTTCCTGTTATATCGGCCTCAAGCCTTTCACCAGTATTTTGTCTTCAAAACTTCCTGAAGGAGCATCACAGCATAATCATAGCAGATGTCTCAGGGCTTTAATAGGAAATGTTCTTCCAGAGTCCCCTACCAACCAGTGATGCTACTCCTGGAGCATAGATGCCATCACTGCAACATATGGTGGCAAAATGAAAGCAGTCAGCTTAAGGATAGAGGAGGATTGTGATTAGAAGAACTCATAAATCTATCAGTACAGTTTAGTCGCTC